AGTAGGTTCTTCTCTAGTCTGTCATTTTATAGCAAAAGATTATTTTAGGATAGCAATAATTAATGATAATTTATAACAGATATAAACAAATGTAAATAAAAAAAATAAAACCCTTCATGCATTAATTTATGTATGACGAAACTAATATGTCAGGGGGTCAGGGCAGGAGAGATGCTGCACAGTTTCCAATTGGCCCTGAATATCTGAATGGGCCTGGCTGCCAGCAGCCTAATTCCTTCCAGCTGGCCCAGTTACTTGCATGGGCATGGTTGACTGCATGGCTGTGGCAGCCCTATCAGCTATCAGGCAGATGCTCAGCAAAAATGCCTCTCTAGATAGCTCCTCTGCACCTAGCATTCTCCAGTATGGATGACTGCTGGTTCCAGTCCTGATTTCTGTTTCTTGCCTGGTATCTTCTAGTTCCTGGTTCCTACCTGCTGGCTCCCAGTTCTTGGCTTATGGCTAGATCCTCATTTCTTGCTCCTGACCCCCTGGCTCGTGACTCAAATTTGGACCTTTGTTACCAACTCCCTGGTTCATGCCTTCAAAGGTAAAGTACAGTCAAAAAGTCCGAGGCTGAATCAATTCACTCTTCACAAGTTAGTCTAAGCTATGTAAACTGAACCGATAAACATGTGAACAGGCATTCACTTTTGATTCTGGAAACGCAGCCACATGCCTGCAGTGGTCCAAGTCTAGAAACTGGGGAGTACTAGAACATGCTTGGCTGGAGCAGACAGCTTGGGCCAAAACTAGCCCGCCTACCCTGCAAGGAGAAAGTGCAAAGCATCCTTGGATGCTGGGGGGACTGAGTTAACTTGAATCTGGAAGGGATCTTTTCAGAAGTTCAGTAAACCAATTTAACCTAAATCTGTTAAGTCTGATCCTATATGCATCTAGGTTTAACTTAAATGGTCTTTGGCCATTTTGAAAGTGGTTTACGAACACTGAACTTCTGTTGTGTTACAGATTTGAACCAGTTTCCAATCTGTTATACTGGTTTGTGTGTAATTTCTGTCCCTAGCCAAAGTGTCTTGACCACCCAAATCACAATAGTACTCTGCCATATGAAAAAATGATCAGCCTCCCAATTAAATGAAAATTTGCTACTATATACACTGGTAATGATTGCCATAAGAGGCAACTAAAACATCCAAGTGGTTTACAAGCTCAGAACTAATCTTTGACATCTGAACACAGAAAGAAACCCCTCTTTTAACAAGAATGATCTTTTATTTATTTTCTATAGTGATGATGCTACAATCATTAGTTATGAAGTGCTAACCCACTTTAGCATATTCAACTTTCATCAAGTGCCAATTTAAAAAAAATAAGAATGACTTCCCTCAACATGTCAATGACATGGTTTTTTTAAAAAGATGGGGAGTTTATATACATGACTACTTTCAAGAAAGAATGAGACTTTTCTACAAACGTGCCACTGTAGAAAAATGAACTTCTGAATCTATACAAGCAAAAGAAACCAATGACATAGTTAATTAAATAAAAGAAGATTAAAGGACAAAGCTAGAATATAAATAGTTAAGTCTGCTAAATGTCAAATGCAAACCAAATAATAGTTTGTTAAATGTCAGATGCAACGGTTTTTCACAATTCTGAATACCGAAAAAAAGAAGCAAAAAAAAAAAAAAAAATGTGTTGTTTCAGTGTAAAACCTCTTGCAGACTGATGAATGTTTAGGAACAAGGACTGAAAGAGGCCTCCTGAGCCTTCAAATCCAGTCACCTGTATCTTCCAGGACTCCTTAACCAAGAAAATCCCAAAATCACCACTCCAAACACTCGCCCACAAATACATGGAACAATAAATGAAACCCCAGGAACACTGTATTACATGCGATGGGCAAAAGCAGGGAAGATGAAGCCACTTCCAGTGTCATGTCACAGAGAAGTAATTGGTTAATACTTGCTAATATGTGATCCACAGTTTATGCCAAATCTGAACTCAGGGAAAAATTCCTTCCTGATGCTGAATTTGGCAGTTGGTATGACCTTAAGCAGTAGACCATCTTGCTAGGTTTCTAATACTGGCACGAACATCAGAACACCTCAGTCAATCCCCACAAATCCCACTAAATTTAGCTGTGGCCAACAAACACACACCCAGGAGATGGCAAATAACCTGCAACGGCATAAGCATTCACTGTGAGTGGGGAGGGAGAGGAGGCAGTTCCTTCCTGATTCTAACTAATGTCTAGCAAAAATCCAGGGGCATTGTTAAATTCCTTCCATACTGAAGAGCCACCTCCAACCTGGGAACTGCAAATACACAACTCCACATCCCACACAGGCCGATGAGCCAGAACCTCTTGTCCTACCACACTATCCCTTCCATAAACTTATTCAGTTTGATCATAAAGATGCAGATTCCTTGCCCCTAATACATAGAAGGACTGTTCCAAAATTTCACTCATCTGATAGCTAGAAAAAACCTTCAAAATTTCAAACTCCCAATTTAAAGTTGATCTACAACCATTTAATAGCCATTTGACCATGCAGCACTCGTTTTGTTTAGCCTAAGAATACCTTTACCTTCCCTATTATACATATTTATTCCCACATACGTATTTGTAGAGTAATCATATCCCCTCCAGTCTTTCTAAACTAAACAAACTCGTTTAATCTTCTTTCACAAAAAAGGTCTCTATTACCTTAACTGTCTTGATGACCATTTTTTGAATTCCTCCTATTTTAAGTTTATCTTTTTTTTTTTTTTTAAATGCTGATGACCAGAAAGCACGGGTATTATAAATTGTATTGCTCCTCAAAAACTTCATTAGAAATAGCACAAGTCAATCTACCAACACAAACAAACAAGCCAGGAAATCTGTTGTTAAAGGTTTGGTCCTGATTCCATGCAACTCAATCGCAACACTCCCACTGATTTCAAAGGTACAGACAGAAGTGACATTTTTTCCCCAATTTGGCCCCTGTAAGTGCTCTACAGCCAAGACCAAACAGAAGTGCATGACTGCAGATCGCTTTAAAGGCCCAACCCTGCAAAAAACTGAACCCTCATTGCCTGAAGGTTCAAATTGAGATGCTCCAAAACAGAATGTATTCTGTAACTTCTGTCTGCGTGCAGGGTGGGGCTCCCTAAAGCTCAAACCTGCTCTGGCACTGTCTTCAGAATGGGAGGCAGGAAAGGGAGTGGGAAGAGTTCAGTCTTGGGTTTTTTCAGCTGGTTCTGGAAGGTGGGACAGGTGGATTGGAGCTCCCCCGCCCAAGGTTATGGAGCTCCAATCCACCCCACCCTCCACCGTTAGCTGGGGAACCCCTAAAATAAGCTCTCTCCGCTAGCATTCCCCTCTCCCAATCTGAAAATAGTACCGGGGCAGGGGGGAGAAGGACTGCAGGCTAGCAGCTGCTATAAACAATAGCTGGATTCCCCAAACCCTGAGACCCAACAGCTAACTTCTGTTGGGTCCAGGGGATCGTTATAACTTATGGCGCTTCATAGGAAGGGTCATGAGTTACAACGGTGAGCTGTTCTTCTCTCTACACCTTCAGTAGTGCAGCACTGTGTCCTAAACTACAACCACTTGTTGTAATCTTTGGTTGTGATTTCATTTTCTTTACATTGTCTTGCTAATATCATGGCATAAATGCTTTCATTTCTGCTTTTAATGCCAATTTTTGTTAATGGGCTGAAATGGATATTTTATTACTGGTCAGAATGCAGAGCTGGTGCTCATTAAAATAAAGTTACGGTTATAGTATGGATTTCATGTTTTCTTAAGTTAAAAATGATGCTGAATTGTGCTAGAGGTCCGTAAGTAGAGGAAACAGTCTAGTTTTGGTAGAAACCATCTGAAATTGTGTTTATCCTCTCTGAAAGTAACTGTAGAATTTCTAATTAAGTGAAGTAGTACAATATAGATTTTTTAAATGATGCAATACCCTGATTGGAGCCAAGATTGTACGGTCCATGTGAAGATGGGGAAGTCACAAATGTAACCCACAGAAACTCAAGTCAGAGTTCTAGATCGCAAAGGATGCCCAGGGAGTTCCTGCTTGGAATGTTCCTTGTTCTAGTCTCAGAAGTAAGGCAAATCAAGCTTTTTCCATTCTCTTTCTGTTGAAGGGCTCCCTGACAAATTTCAATAAGAACTTTACCAGTCTCCACTGAAGTGCAGGATGTTTCACAAAAACAAATATCACTTTCCAACTGATTATCATGTATTTGAGCTAGATGGTGTTAATAAATAAACACACTTAAATAGTCCAACTAAAAATACTAAATATTCATTCTCCCTTCAGGGGCTCAGATTACTCTCTCCTTACCTGTAATGTAATCTTACTAGTACTCCAGCCACTTGGCTACATCCATGTTACTTTTTCTTTTCCTGTGCAAAGAATGTCCTGCTACCACTAACTCTAAATGGAGCTCCTCCACTAATATCAACAGTTAGGCTAGATTCTGACAGCCACTGACACTTCAACACCATACTGTCCAACTTAGCTTGTGGAAGATCTATTGACAGATGGTTTAAAATGTTAATAACTACAAGGGGCTTGCCTTACAGCTGCACTGAAGCTAGCAATGTAAATAGCAGGACATTTTTGCCCAGAATCCCTATGACAGGCAACAAAAGGCCAAAGAGTCCAGGAATAAGAAAGTAGACAGACATGAAGTTTTAACACTAGCAAGAACAAAATAAAACAAAAAACTTAAATTTTTATGTTGTTTTTTCTATATAAACCAAAGGAACCAAAAAATTCTATTTTGCTTTGCAGGTCCCCATTCAAATGCTTCATCCATATCATAAAAGAAAATAAAAAAAAAAATCAAATAAGTTTGCAGCACTGTGTCTGTCCCAGCGTCAAATGTATATCATTGTATAGAAGCTACAAAAGTACGTAAAATATGCTGGAAAGTGACAGAATTGTGGGTAATGCTGTGACTTGCCACATCCTACCAAGCATCATTAGAATAAAAAAAAAA